ACCATGTCTCAGGTTGCTGGGTTTGGAATGCAACCCCCCCCCCCCCCCCCCCATCTCTCTCTCTTCTTTCTCTCCTCCCCTCCTCCTCTCCTCCACTCCTCCATCATTCCTTCTCATAGAGAGACAGCATTTCTCTCTGCTCAAGGTCTCCCAGACAACCGGTATCTCTCTGCTAGCTATAATACAGTACTAGCCCACTTGTCTTTAGGCTATGTATGGCAGATATGTGACAGTATTTTCCATTTTAGATTAAGTTATTTTATTTGTCACCTTCTCATGCACTGCCTGTGTATTTCTAGGGGGACGTTCAGTGTAGAAAGTGTTTTGCAGGGTTGGAGTTATGCAACCCCTGCCGTATAATGGTAATCATCAGCCTTCTCACCTTGAGCCAACCTCTCAAACCACCTCATCACGGGATGTCTCTGCACGCCCCTCAGAAACCGTGCCAAAAACGTTAAACGCTAGTAACATTAAATACATTTTATTAGCATACTTCCCCCTCTGTCTCTCTTTCTCACTCTTTCTCTCTCTTTCTCTCTTCGCTACCCTCTTAGAAAATGGGGTTCCAAATGGGTTCTTCAGCTGTCCCAATAGGAGAACCCTTTTTGGTTCCAGGTGAAACAATTTTGGGTTCCATGTAGAACCCTCTGTAGAAAGGGTTCTACATGGAACCAAAAGGGTTATTTAAAGGGTTAACCTAAGGGAACAGCCGAATAACATTTTAAGGTTGCATCTCTCTCTCTCTCTCTCTCTCTCTCTCTCTCTCTCTCTCTCTCTCTCTCTCTCTCTCTCTCTCTCGCTCTCGCTCTCGCTCTCGCTCTCACTCTCTCTGTCTTGGCTCCATGTGCACTTAATTAAATTTACTTTGAAGTGACAATGACATCATCAGTTGCCTGTTATTCTTTTTGGGCTGCAGGGTTCCCATGGAAACTCTGATGTCATCACATCCATGCAGGCTTGTTTTTGGGGAAACCACAGCACAGCCAACATGTGGTAAAGAGAGAGAAATGGGCTTTTGTTTTGGAAAGATCAGCAGGTTTGTCAACGGGCTGTCTCGGTGGACGAAAGCCAGCAGGTATTCTATCTTTTCCCAGGAGACAGGAGAGGCAGCCTGGGCATTCCTTCACTCTCTTCCTCCCTCCTAGTGAGAGTGCTCTGCCCATCCCTCTGTCAGACGTCTGTGGCATGTTCAGTAGGCAAACGTTACGGAACATTATAGAGCTGACATGATCCCTTACATATCAGAGAGGCATGTTTGTTCATATATAGTATTTCGGTCTGAACGTTCCACAATGTTGTGCCCTGCTGAGCGCATGCAGCTCTGGGCCTGTATTCACACAGCATCTCAGAGTAGGAATGATGATCTAGGATCTGTTTTGCCTTGTAAATCATTATGAATAAGAGGGGGGGGCCTGATCCTAGATCAGCACTCCTACTCTGAGACGCTTCGTAAATACATGAAGACAAAGAGGTGCTTGTATACCACTTGCTCTGGCTGAGGTGGGCTTGTCTAGTTCAGAGACTAGTGCTGGTCTCTATGTGAACACTGGGAGTTTTAATGGGAGTTTGAGTGCAGAGAGAAAGAGAGAGAGAGAGTGGACAGACATGTTTGTGAACAGTTTTAATAGTGTAGTGACGCAGCCCTGCTCTGTGGGCAAGTTTCAGTGCTCCTTGTTAATGTTCATAGCTCAAAACCATTAGTTAGAGGGTGGGGGAGGAGAAATGACAGGGGACATAGGAATGTGGATTAGCCTGGCACCCTCTGAAGAGATGAATGATGTTGACACTACATGCAGATTACTATACTTAATAACTTAATCTCTCGTGGGCAGACTACGTAAACATAAATGGTACCATAGATCTGTCTTTATACTATGGGCACCAATAGTTCCGGTGCTTTATTCATCACTGTTTTTTTGGACAAATCACGATTTCGCAGGTGTTAGCATCTTTCGAATTTCAGAAGGGGAGGGGACATTCAGCCCATAGACTTGCCCGCAAAGAGAGATGGGGTGGAGCTCCTCGTTCTAGCATCTCTTCAACTCTTCTCTTAACAAGTATGGACCCAGAACTTAATTGAGCAGCTGCCGAATTACGCAAGACTTTAGTTCTGGGTTAGCCAAGGTTATTACTAACTTAATGAATCAACCGTTTTGATAATATGTTGACTGATATATTGACGTGTTGAAGTCAAGAATAGAATAGCAAAGGTACTGTAGCAACTGACCTGCTTCCAGTACTCTGAGGTCAGAGGTCAGAGGTCACAACACACAACCTCTTTCCTCTGTCCTCTCTCACTGATCCCCATGCTGACATGGAATCTAAATCTTTACTATTTCCGCTCATGCTACTGAGTCCATGCTACGTTTCACTATTGTTTCACTAATAGCATGGACTCGGTTTGGATTCCAAGGCTAACTGAAACTCTGTATAAAGACTGGGTGTAATACAGACAGTATCTCTGGATCCCACTGTCTGTATAGCATCACCAAGAGTTGATAATGTATGACACATATTATACAGCAAGCGTCATCATGTCATATGGGGCCCAACGCGATTTCCTGAAATGAAGCCAGTGCAGAGTGTAGGAACAGGCGTGTGACTATGCATGCGTCAAGCTTTTTATGTCTCTCTGACTTCCTGCTTTTGTCTCACTACTACTGGATTGTGCAGTAGCTAACCTAAGCTGGTTATCGCTATCGAGGATCTCAGTTTTACATCAAAGAGCCCTTTCTTCAGCAGCCCGGTGAGGTCTAGAGCTGAACCCACGAACCACAAACATCCGTGAGTTAATTTCGTCACACGCCATGCACCACTTGCACTGACTTCATTGGGCCCCTCTCTCTCCATATTTCCCTGATAAGGCTGAGAACAAGCAGAAACACAGCAGACTAGAGTGTTAGAGGGTTAGGGATTAAAGTACAATAACAAACACTTGTTGTGGATAAGCAAAGCACAACAAAGTCTGTGAACTCCCCTGGTTCCTCCCACTAATCACGTCCAACATTTATGACCTGAGCAGAGCCGAGTGGCGCTGCAACAGGGCTGACGTTACCCCAGGAGCTCAATCATATTTAGTCATTATGAAAACACAGAAAGAAACAGCTGCTCTTGGCCCAGCGACTCAGGGAGTGAGAAACATTGTTTGGAGAATGGCAAGTGGATTTAGCTCATTTCCAGTCCACTAATTCATTTTAAAGTATCGGTGAAGTAAATGTATTTGCCATGAATTCTCCAGATATTCAATTAACACACACTGACAAGATAGGAGTTGTTGGTTCTCTTCCTTCTCACCCCTGCAGATCTAGCCTGGTTAAAGCAGCCTGAATGCTGCACTCAATTGAAACAATGGTGAGCACAGCATTCAGTCTGGTTTAACCAGGCTACTGTAGACTGTGGTCCCTGTGGTAGCTGGCTGTTGTATCTCAGTCAGGCAGACTTACATAAGGCCTGGGGTATGAGGGAGGGAGGGAATTAGGGATGGAGGGAGGGATGTCCAGGGTGGACAGTCAGTCTGCTATCGTAAATCAACCCCCCTCCCAAGCCCCCCCTTCAACCCCCTGTGTTTACAGTAAACAGTGGGGCGGAATGTAAAGTTATTTGTGTCTGTACGTCTGCTCTCATTGTGATGGTGGTGCAGGGCAGTGTTGGTCTGTCAAGCATTGTGCCCACCAACCCAGCCACCCATCCAACCATCCCAGCCAGACCCCCACTCACTCACTCTCCAATCTGATATGGAATGTTTGCTCTGCTCGGGTCCTGTTACGCGGGGGAAGGGAAGAGAAGAGGGGTGTAGCCCTACCCTTCACTCACCAGGCTCAAACCCAGCTTTTTTCGCTACAATTTTAACAATAATTGTTCACATCACAATACAACTAACTATACAATGGAATACTCAAAGAGACAGGCATTTTCCACTACTCGGATGTACATTTTCACAGATTACCTGAAGTCAATCATTATCTTGCCCGTCAATCTCTCTCTCATTAATGTAATCTCACAAGTGTATTTATCCTGTCTTATCTCTCTTATCTTGTCTAACCTCTATAATACCAATAGCAAGAAAGAGCGAGGGAGGGGAAAGAGAAAGGCATTGGGGGAGGAAGAAAGTGTCCCCCCTGATGTACAATAGCACTGCTAAAAAAGGGAGATTGACAAGACTTGGAACCGAGAGAAGTTAGATCAGACAAAAAGAGAAAGACAGAGAGAGAGAGAGAGAGAGAGAGTGCTGATTGAACGTCCTGCTGTTAGAAGTTCACTTGGTGAGAGAGTGACACAAATACACGAGGAGGAGGAGGAGGAGGAGGAGAAGGAGGAGAAGGAGGAGGAGGAAGAGGAGGAGAGGTGGGAATGGGAAAGGCAACATCAACACAGATGATTCCTTCCAACAGTTCACAGAGTGCTGGGAGGGATAAAGAGGAAATCTAGCCCGCCTCCCTCTGTCTGTCTGCCTGTCTGTCTGTCTGTCTGTCTGTCTGTCTCTCCCTCTCTCTCTCTCCTTCCCTCTCTCTTTCCCTCCCTCCTCTGTATTCCTGCTCCCTCCCCCTGACCAGTGGAGAAGAGGGAGATGAACCTGAGTGAGTGTGTGAGAGAGAGGAGTGTTTTAAAGCAGTGTGCCGGGCAGAGCAGAGCAGACACTCATAGCTGGCCAGCGCTGAGGGGGAATACTATACCGGAGCTCGAGAGGTGAACTTAGGTATGGGTTACTACTATCTCTCTCTCTCTCTCTCTCTCTCTCTCTCAGACACGCACACACACCATACACTCACTGAAACTAAGTTACAATTACCTCACTGGTTTAATTCACAACAGCCTTGTCACATGCCTGGCTTCGACACAGATTGTGTCATTTTACTTTTCTACTGATTTACTTCACTTCTTTTAGAGTCTGTCATGTTTGAATAGTGTTTGTTGTTTGATAGACATCAGTATTGTCATTCAGAGCAGGCTTATAAATATGAGCTTTGACTCCGCAGGATAGAGGATACCCTGAGGGACCTCCTGGGATGAATGGGATCTGAAAGGTTCAACTGCAGCTGACAAGACTGACTTCTCCCCAATCTCCATTCAAAGTGCATGTGTCTGGGACACTCAGTCAGGAGGAGTAGTGTGGAGGGAGTTAACCCAGAGAGTGCATAGAAGACCCAGTGAGGAACACAGGGACTGGAGGCAGTGGAGCAGAGATGGACGCAGGTCCTCTGACAGCCGTGGGAGAGGGCTCCTCTCCGGAGGGCGAGACGGTGTGCACTGCGCTCGCCCGCTATGAGGCCACACTGAGAGATGCCGTGCGTGAGATCCACGTGGACGTGAGCACCTTCAAGCAGGGTGTGGAGCGCCGTCTGGAGGAGGTGACGGCCCACTCCAGCGAGGACCCCCTAGGCCGGGCTGTGGCCCAGCTGCAGCAGGAGAACCGGCAGCTCCGGAGCCAGCTGGAGGCCCTTACCCGACAGGTAGAGCTCCTCACTGGGACTGTGTGCGACAGAGGCACCCTGATGACTAACAACAACAACAACCACCAGCACCAGCTACCGTCCATCCAGGCCCAGACACACAGCAGCAGCCAGCAAAGGGTGAGCCCCCAGTCCCCCTCCACCTCCCCCACCAGCCCTGCTGGTGGCCCCAGCATGGGAGCCCTGACCGGGTCAGCCTCGGGCTCGGCCTCCAGCCCCACTGCCACCCGCTTCTCCAGCCGAGCTACCTTCGCTGTGTCCAGCAAGACTAATGTGAGTAGCCTTATACACTGGAGAGACTGGGTTGGGGACATAGAGATACATTAGAGCAGTAGACTATGTCATGAACCTCCAGAACTCTAGAATGGGATGATAATGGCAGCCATCTTGGTCAGGGATAAATTAAAGTGTTGTATTTAGTTATGTAGTGGTGACTGTATGTGGCTCTGAGAGACTGTCAAGATTGTACAATGATTCATCCAGAATATATGGGGGTATGGGGGTTGAACAGACTTTCTTGGCCACTTCACAGGGATGATGTCAGAGCTTTGACAGCGGTGGGGAAACTCGGTCATATTCAACGTAATATTTAGACACGCGAGCAGAGTAGATACCAGATGAAAGCAATCAGGATCATTTACCATCATTGAACATTTTGGTAGAAATAATTGCTTATTCTAATGTCCGTCCAATCTCTGCAGTCTGAGAAATAAGCTGTTCTTTTAGCACTTGAGCTCTCTGTCCTGAGAGTGATAGAACATGTGAAGAGTCTCTCTTTCTCTCCTGCTCCCTTTATCTCTCTCTCTGTGATGAATGGTTATTTTGCACTCATATACTGCTATTATGCTGCTGACAACATCTTGCTCATGAATCTTCTCCCACTATTCTCTTTGTTGAGTGGCACCACAGCTTGCGCAACATTTTGAATGGATTCAATCGTGTCCTTCAGTTTTACTAGTAACAAATATAAACACAGTACATTGTTTCTCACTTACCCCTATCCACACTGTCATTGGGATATTTGAATAATATGTGTGGGACTGAAAGACAAACAAGCGTACTTTGTTACAGTTGATGAAAAGCTAAGAATGTCGTAGTTTGTCAGTTCTAAGGTAGAGCACAGTTTGGGTGGGAACTCAGTGATAAGTCTGGGAAAGTCATTGTCTTAGTTCTTAGTGTACAGTAAACCACAGTAGTGTCTGTTTCAAAAGTCAGAGGTTTCTCTTGACTGTATCCCAACACAAGGCCCTAAGGCTATGCTGTTTTGGAAACTACAACGGTTATGTTAATCCTTTATAAGGTCAATATTCCGATTTTCACTTTATTTGATTCAGAGTCTTTCCTCTCAGCTCTGAGGTCCTTTGTTGTTTCTTGGTTGTAAACTCACAGCTGTTTTCTGTAGCAAACTAAGCCTTGACAGTCTGGCATGGATGTTGACTGTTAGCTGTGACTGCTCACACATAGCCATAGACACAACAAACACACACACGTACACATGTGCATACACACACACACACACACACACACGCACACGCACACAGCATGTATGCAAATGACTGATGTCATACACCTCATCTTTAAAAAAGTATGTGGTAAAGCATCTGATGATTCTCATCTGATGTAAATATGTAGGTTAGTATAAAACAGAGATCCTTTGTTTCTACTAATAGATTGTTGGAGATCCCCTTTTTGTGGCCAAAACTTTTTTCTCCAAATTACCAAACAACCAGACAGAGATTGGATCATAATACTGTAGAAAACTAATGTGAGTTCCTTATCTATTGATCCAATGCCAATCAATTAATTGGTTTGTGTGCGTGTGTGCGTGTGTCTGTAAATCTATTCTAGTGAATATTTACAGGTACCCGGAACTCAACAGGGAAACGCTATGCTAATCAGATTTCCCCTACAGCCACATCTACACCTTTCAGCCTCAATGGCCATGTCTACACTTGACACTTACATGCGTCTTCTACTATCAGAGTACAAAGATCGCATTGAAAAGACAGGTGTAGACGCACAAAAGTCGCATTGTGGTCGGATTGTGTTCAGATCTCCCTAACCACCTCAGGAGGTGGTCAGGGACGCATTGTGTGCGGATTTTTCCTCAGTCTGGACGCAATCAGGCTACCGAAAGCGCATACAGTGGGCGAAGTCATCAGCTCTCCAGAAAATGTGTGTTTTGGGAGTGAGAGGCACCTTTTTTCATTAAACGTTGGAGGAAATACATTCCTAGCGTGTGAGGAACGTGTTTGCTGGCCTCATAAATGCTAGCCAGCTAGCTTATTTAGAAAAACTATTTTTTGTTTGGCTAGAGTTATGCTAACATGTTTGCAATCCCTTTAGCTTTGCTAGTTAGCTTGCTTGCTAGTTTCAGAGGTTAGCTGGCTAGTTAGCTGGCTAGTAGTTGGCTATTGCCATCAAGTTGTTATTGTGTTATCAGATGTAGCCTGTTCCACTGTTTGCAGAATGCATACTGCATTTAAATATAGCCCGGGAAAAGGGAATCCGGACACAATGTGGACACAGTAGACACATTTAAATGTAGTTGTAGACGTGTTCGGAATTCCATGATCAGAATACAAAAACTGCATTAACTGTCAAGTCTAGACACGGCCAATGAGAGTACAGAGACTGTATGTTGGCCTCATAAAGTCCGATGGGCTGTTTCAGCAGGTCTGAGGGAGGGAGCTGATTGCGCTGGGGACCTCCAGGCACATCTGAAGATGGCTTTGCAGCCCTGGAGTTAACCGTCGCCTCACTGAAAGAGCACAGCCAATTGGGATGTGTGCGGGCCTGCCCTGGGCCTGAACTTTCACTATAGGCTTGCTTACAGAACATCTCCACCCCTGCTCGACTGTGCCTTGGACACCTGACATTCTGATGCAGATATGCGTCTCTCTCTCTCTCTCTCTCTCTCTCTTCTCCTCTCAATCTCTTTTATTTTATTTTTTTCTCTTTAACTTCCCACCTCTCACTCCCTCCCTCCCTCTCTTTCTCTCTCTTTTTTACCCCTCCTCCTCCTCATCCTCCTCCTCCTTCCCATCCTCCACGGCTACCTACGTCAGTCAGTCTGTCCGGTCTCTGCCGAGGAGTCACACAATGCTGCCTGTTGCCAATTACTCCAACATAGCTGCGGTCTCAAAGGGCTATTGTGTCGACATTCTGCCTCATTTGAAGTACATTGACTGAGGAGGGGATTAGACGAGAGGGTCACCCAGGACCCAGCCATCCCGAGACTCCACACTCCCTCTTCCACTCCTCCATTCCCTACTCTCACAGACCTCCTCTTCACATCTGCTCCCTTGTAGCGTGCGGTAGAATTCACTCAAGTACACTCACACACAGGCATGCTTTCTCAGACAGACCACACCTGCACACCTCAAACCTAACGTTTGCTACATTCCTCAGTGTATTCAAGTTGAGGAGAGAGAGGCTGTGCCCTATTAGAAGATGAACTGGATAGAATCCACCCACAATGTTATCTTTGACAGTTAGCGTAACTACAAAACACAGGACCACAGTGTGAATCCTTAGGTCCCTCACTGTCCTGCCGTGTCCCTGCCCTGGGCTGGGTTGTGTTCATGTGGGCTGTGTGTGTGTGTGTGTGCATGCCTGGGTGCATGCGTGTGTGTCTTCTCTCAGACAAAGGCATCTCTAGGCCATGTGGACCGACTGGAAGGGAAGGATAAGATGTGTGTGTGAGACTTGATCAGTGGAAACTCCGTCAGAGCACGCTCACACTGTCACCGTGAGCAAACACAAACACTCACCGCGCACACACAAACAACCCCCACTGCGTCCTGCCCTCAACACACCTCCAATGGTAGGATCCCATAACATACACTACGCACACACATACTGTCAGACAATACACACTGAGAGGACTTCTAAAGAGGAGCAGAGTACTCTAAAGTTCTATTATCAGGACCCCTAAAATCAGCTAAAAGCTAATAGCCAATCCTCCCTGTCACTGCTACACGTAAAATCCCTGTCATACTCGCACACACAATACACCACCATCATATACTCTCTCCACTCCCTACAATACAGGACCCACACTCCCACTATTAACATTACTCAACCTCTGTCTTCTGCACTTCTTCTCAAACATGCAATTACAGATTGCTTGGTTTACCTTGCAGTGCCGTGGGGGGTGTGTTTTCGTTCACTGTATAGTATAGTCTAATGGATAGATTGTATGAAGTGGGAAAAAGCACTGATCCTGCTCCAAACCAAATGACTATTTGTGATCACTGGCTCACAATGTGCACGTATACACGCAGACACACACACGTAGGTTGTGCGAGCACGCACACACACGCACATGCACACAACCCCTCCCTCTCCCCACACACACACCCACGAACACAGAGCTCTCCATTGTTTTTATCACTCTAGCGGATGGTCCAACACATGCCTCAGGAGTCAGATCATCTCCATCTGGTTCTCTGTCCTCCATGATCATTTATCCAACCAGAGGCTATTCGTAATCCCTGACAACATTCTTCCATGGTGCCCAGAGGAATGCATCTTAATCTCACATCTCACACTCCTCAGATCTATATTTAGTGCTTGTTGTTCTCCTGATGAAGATCTGTGGCCAACCACAGGAGGTTGGTGGCACCTTAATTGGGGAGGATGGTATGGCATCATTGGCCCCTTCTTGCCCCAGCACCAGATCTCTCCACTCGGGCCTTTGAAGGCGAGAAACATAATGGGAGCAACTCAGCAACATCAAACAGCTCCACCTCAGCTTCGTTTCACTATTAAAATGGTCACATTCTCAGACAATGTCTTGTGAACTTAATTAGAATGGTGTATGCCTTCTGCTTTACGTGCCAGAGTTGGAAGAGCACTTCAAATCTTTTTTTGTGTGAGTGTGTGTGTACGTGTATGCGTGTGTGTGCATGTGTGTGTCTGTGTGCGTCCAAGCCTGTGTGTGTGTGTGCATGTGTGTGTGTGTCTGTGTGTATCCCCATGATAAATACGCTTGACATTTCCAGCACACCCACAGAGACTCCCCTCACAAATTCATAGCTCTCTCACAATGGAGCAAGGTCTTTTATTCTCTGCCTGTCTGTGTGTCCCCTGCCTGGGCCAGGCCATCCAGCCATCCAGCCCAGAACTCCAGATTCCTGGCACAAACCCCTCAGCATGGCTATTAATACAGTGGAGCTCAGCCTGAGAGACATACCCAGGGAGGGAGAGAGAGCTTGAGAGAGAGCTTGAGAGAGAGCTTGAGAGAGAGCGAGAGAGCGAGAGAGCGAGAGAGAGAGAGAGAGAGAGAGAGAGAGAGAGAGAGAGAGAGAGAGAGAGAGAGAGAGAGGCCAGGGTCAGGGGTGAAGGGGGCTTGAGAGAGGCATGCGAGCCGGGCTGGGCTGGCTGGCCGCTCCCCTCCCCTCCCAGGCTGCCCCTGGCTCTCCTAATTACTTCCATACAATGCCCTGTATTTCCATCGCCGTGGTTACAGGTTAATAATTCACTGTTTAGTGGATGACCTCACCGCCCTCTACGTTCATTGTTCTAGAGGGCCCTGGGTCCAGTAGGTAGAGAGAGAGAGGGAGGGAGGAAGGTATTTATTATATATATTCTAATTGTACGTTTTACATTTTCCAAACAGACAGACAATAACAGAAAACATATTAGTGTTTATATTAGACTTGTGTGCACTTGTTTGACTCAACGCTTTTCATGCAGCCATACTGTATGGACTAGAGAGGGTGTGCTGTTTTTGGTGAGCGTCAGATCGGAGCATGTGTCCTATCACCTCTAATTTAGCTGATTGAATCATCAGACAGTTAAATCATATCACCAGGTTTTATTGATTTGTTTTGGTGTTGGGAGGCTAGTATACCGATGTCTTCCACAGCTGGTGCCTTGTAACCCGAGAGCAGTCTACAATACCTCTTAGATCTTGGAGATGTCGGAGTTCTTAGGTGCCAACTGCTGTGCTGTCCTGGGGAGTCGGTCCTATCTCCCTTCCCTTACCCCCTCCCTCCCCGTTCCCTTACCCCAGGGCATTCTGAACTTTATGTCAGACCCCCTGACCTTTCCGTAGCCATCAGGAGAGACGAAGAGGGGGACAGACAGGATAGGAGAGACAGTGTGTCCCAAAATGCTGCTCAAGTCATCATCACACTCTCTCACTGCAAATAATGCAAAATGCGGTCACACACTCTCAATCTTACATGGCCTTCCGCATCACACACACACACACAACCTACATGTCTTTCTGCGGCACACTAACATTGCCACATGCATCACACTCTCAATGGTACATGGTCTTCCGTGACATCCAGCCCCTGACCGGAACATAAGGTTATCTTATCTGTATATCTATTCTTAACCTTTGACAGCATTTTATGCACCCTGCCTTGTGACTGAAACCCTGGAAAATCACAGTAACAGAGGAGAGATCCAGAAGCAGGTTTAGAGGGGGATTAGAGGAGGGAGGCTTGCTGACGCACTTGAGAAGGGTATGCGTGTCCAGTTAGTTTAATACAAGGGCCTGTGTGTGAGTGTGTGAGTGTGTGAGTGCGTGCGCACGTGTGTGTGTGTGCTCGACCAAACAGCCTCGCTCCCACACACACCCATCAGATAAGGCAGGGGCCCCTGTAGTCAGGTGATGTAAAAAAAGTGTTCAAAGGGCCCCCTCCATTTCTGTAGGACCAAGGCGCCGACCTGGGCCTCCCTGCTAATTGCAGGCTTTGTGGGTTTTTTGAGGAACAGGTGGTTTTGTGTGTGTCTCCCTCCATGAGGACTTCCCTGTTCCTGTGTGCAAATCACAGAGCAAAGACCCCTTTAGAGACCCATGATGAGAGGCCACATTATAACTGTACTGCCTGCTTGCTCTCAGGGCTCTGAATAGCTCTGATGTGTGTTTGTGTGTGTGTGTGTGTGTGTGTGTGTGTGTGTGTGTGTGTGTGTGTGTGTGTGTGTGTGTGTGTGTGTGTGTGTGTGCGCGTGTGTGTGTGTGTGTGTGTGTGTGTGTGTGTGTGTGTGTGCACGTGTGTGTGTGTGTGTGTGTGTGTGTGTGTGTGTGTGTGTGTGTGTGTGTGTGTGTGTGTGTGTGTGTGTGTGTGTGTGTGTGTGTGTGTGTGTGTGTTGTGCTTGTGTGTGTTGGTGTTGTTGTTGTTCATTTGACTTTACAAGGGGGTGCAGAGTTAGTTAAATATGTGATAATGTACTGTACACGCCTGGATGAGGAATGTACCTTTTAGTCACAATATATTTATTTCCCTCTAATTGTCTTATTAAATTATCATGATGGCACATTGAAAGCATGTGTTTGCATGCTGTTTACCATAGTCTACAATAGTATTGTTTATACATAGATATTTCCTTATATTGTGTTTGTTTGTGTGTTTGTTGTGGAAATGGTAACTGAGACAGCTATGTTGTGAAGCATTCATAGAACAACATCCTGTGTTGGAAAGGATTTTTATGTGATCAATGGAAAATGTGAATATTCCTATTAGTGAAGCTTATTGTATGGCAGGGTGTTGTTGTCCATAAGAGCTGGCTATCTTTGTTTCTGTGCCCAAAATCCTGAGTGACACATACTGTCATACCCCCACCCCACTCAACTCCCAAAGCCCAGTGTTCTCTCACAACAAGCCTTCATTGTGTTCACGTTCCATTCCACAACCACTCAAGGTTCCAAGAATGTCAAATGTCATCCCGAGAAACAGGCTTGAATATCCTCTCATATAATCATAACCAACTCCATCCCAACTGGAATTCCCCTAGCTAACACGCTTTATTGAAATGTCACAAAGTTAGGTGCCATGACATGTCAGCCTTATAATACACTGCACCCCTTCAATGAAACTTCATTGAAACTGCAAGACTCGCAATATAACAATCCACATAGATTATCTTGTGTTTCGCATCAATATTTCTATGGCACGTTGCCAGGTGGGAAAAATTCCCACTCATTGCATTCTTGGCCAAGGTCACATGGGACAGCTGTGATATTTACACACATATGAAATAGCCATGTGCCTGGGAGAACCCACGGTCCCACTCTACCCCACTCTACCACCACCACCCATTGTCCAACTCTACCCAACTCTACCCCACTCTACTACCACCACCAGTTAGCATCTGTATTAGTCTAATACCTTTGAATACCGTGTCGGCCCTGATGCTTTGTGTCCGCACTATGCTGAACCAGGTCAGGGAGGGAGGGAGGGAGAGAGAGGAGAGGGAGAGAGGGAGAGTGAGAGAGATGCAGAGGTATTGTAGCTTTTAGGAGTGGGGTTACAGTGCTGCTGTGTGGGGCTTAATGGGGAGATTCTAAGGTAGTTATCCTCTCTCAGGTCAGGTGTGCCTCCCTAGGGAGAAGTGACAGTGGAGGCTCCTATAATGGCCACATTGTTGATCCAGTGTGCCCAGTAACACTGCTTCTAAGACAATAAAGACGTAGAAACTGAGAAACTGAACACACAGGACAGGGGATTTCATCTTTGATCCAGCCCTGCAGGCTAAGACTGACCCCCCCCCCCCCCCCTCCTCTCTCTTGTGAGTCAGTGTAGCAGACTGAGGGCTTTTCCACATTTCCTACTTAATTTCACGATTTCCTCCAAATATTTTATAGTTCCCCACTGATAATTCGATGACGCACTCTCAGGAACCGGGGGATTTGCTGTTCCAGGAAGGCGGAGAGAGGGGCTTTTGTGTGCTCCTGCCTGTGTTGTGTGGAGAATTGGTGCGTGTGCGTTTGCGTGCATGGGTGCGTGCGTGGGTGTTGCTCTGTGGGGTGTGCCTTGATTCCTGGTCATCCTCTTAAATATAGCATTGTATCTGGGCAGCTGATGACAGCAGAGCTGACTGCACACACTAGGTTGAGCTCTACACTGTTTTATCGTTGTCTGAAATGCACAATAGAGATGATTTGAAAAGTGCCTTCCTTTCGTTCTCAATACAGTTCAGCTGCAGAACTATTTCTGAGATCCGAGATCAGATTAAACATAGGCGGTGGTACCCTCTACGTTCAACTGTTTTTATCCAAAAAGATTTGCCTACTTTTATCTTCAGGCCCAGAGCAACACAGTCTCACACACGTGTCTGGTGGCCCATTCGGACAGGAGGAGAAGCATGACTTAGTACAGAAAGTTTCCATGGCTGGGACACACCAAGCCAGGAGGAGCTTTGGGTTTCAGCCAGAGCATCATGGTTGAGCCGGGGAAAATTTGTCTCCCCCATCACCTTCTCCCAGTGGGACAGCCAGCTGTTCCCAGCTCCCTGCTCCCCTCGGCCCTCCTAATGCAGTAACACACACACAACCCAGCAGCAGCAGCATTCCTCTCTGCTGAAGTCACCTTGCTCCTCTCTCCCCTACAGCTCAATTACTTACTTCATTTTCACTGGGAGGAATGTACCCTTTCTTTGATAATAACTGTATATAACAACTTGTATTGAATGTGTGTGTGCGTGTGTGTGTGTGCTTGCGTGCATACGTGTGTGTGTGAGTATGTGTGAGAGAGAGAAAGAGCAAGAAAGAGCAAGACAGAAACATGACACATCCTCCACAGACAAATCACACAGCCCTCAGTCACTTCCTGGTTGTCTTCCTGAAAGGCTCCTCTGTGGATTGGCTGGTTAGTCAGGAACACAGTGTACTGAGCGCCAGTCACTTACTAACGAAAGTAATAGATGTTGTGTAGTAGTAACGTTGTGGGAGGATTTAATGAGATAAAAATGGAAAGAAATGTGCCTTGGCCATGGATGCCATTAATGGGAACTTGAAACATGTCAGCACTCTGAAATGACTTGATCTGATGATGTCTCAGATAACGTGCATATTTCGTAATCCAAAAGTTATTCACATGTTTAAATGGCCTGTCATCAAAATATTGTTGTTGAAGATATTGTGACACCGGAGTACTGTGGGAGGTGTTCAGGTGATTTTCTCTTTGTCTCCTGTAGAGTATTGAACGTGAGGAGCCAATAGAGGTGGATCCAGCCCCTGTATCCCCTGGACTGGAGAATGGACACTCTACTGACCCAGGTAATGGCTGTTCTAATCTACCATCTCAGCTACAGTAGAAATACAGCCATACTTACCATCCATGTACTGTATGAGGGGATTTATTTTCTCAATGCTTATCCAATCAGAAAACTCGACAGTGTCACATGGAAAGAGCTCGCAAGCCAATAACAACGTCCCTCATGAAAGCACGGCCCCTATTGCCATGCGGATGCCACACCTACCCATCACCGCCACAACCAAAACGGCTGACCCCTCAGTTATGAAGAACGAGTCTCCCACCAGTCCTGTACGCTCTCAGCCCTCGTCTGTATCAGAGCCTACTGACAACAACCAGCCTCAAGCCATCCCAGAATCCCCCATTCAACCAGGTAAGAGGGACCAGACATCAGCTAAAAGCTGTCCAGACCAAATATTTGAACTCTCGACTTCCATATCCTTCTATGGTTCTTCTGCTCCGTAATATCCTTTGTTACACTCTTTGTCTTTTTGTTGTTCAGTGTCTTCTATGAAGACATGGACCCCCAGTCTCAGCCGAGGTCTGGGCTCTCCTCGACTGTCAGGTAAGAGGATATCTATCAAGTCAGGCTTGTTACTAAAACTGGAACTAACCAGACTCACACAATGTTTTATCCCCACAGTTTCCTTATATGTTCTTTGATTTGTCATTTGCAGAAAAGTCCTTGTCTGCTCCCCCGAAGTCAGTGACTTACTCTGGCCTCATCCAACACAACACAGACAGGTGAGTGTCACGAACCGGCTCAAAGTTCGTAACAAAAGGGAGACAATGTGGAGACAAGGAATACCAAAATATATATTTATTAACTAAAGTAAACTAAGTACAATTAACAATGGTGAGTGTAATCAGTAATCAGTAGTGTAAGTGAGTGTTATGCATGCATAAATGTAATAATACAAGGTGTTGGAAGGTGCCAAAGCAAACAACCAAAAAGCCACAAAAATACCACAACAAAAATCTATAAAGGTGTCTGCATGGAGAGAGTCTCCCCAATGAATGTGGAAGAGGTCCATTTATCCTGGGACACACCCAAGCCCAGGTGTTTCCCATGTAGCTGACGACCCTCCCAACTCTGCCCACCGGCATCCTAATAAGGAAACAAGAGCAAAGAGAGAGAATACGGCAGACAGAGTGGGAGGGTCGTCACATGAGTGCACTATTCTTTACTCAATCCTAGAGAATTGAGATAGTCCATGCTTTAACCCACATGCGATTACCCACTTGCCATTTCGAATGGCCTCATTGTGGCCCAAATTGATGTGTGACACTCCTCCGTTCTCCGACCTGCAGGGTGGAAGATGTGGGCGGGGACATGCCCTTTGGGAGGGGAGTGGAGCGGAGGAGGGAGCTGGTGAGGTCACAGACGTTGCCGCGCAACCTTGGAGCTCAGGCCCGCCGGTCCATCTTTGAAAGGCTGGATCCTGAAGCCAGCAGGTACCACCCTCTCTCCTCCCACCATCATCTCTCTTTCTATCCCATCCATCCATCCCTAAACTGATAGGTCCTCTCCTTTCCCTCATATTATCCCTCCTTTCTTCTGGGTAATTCTTAACTCATACTTCGGTTGCGTCCCAATTCTCTACCCTTGCACACTCTCTCTCATGGATTTAACAATGGTGGAAAAACACCACCCAACCACAGGGAGTGTGCTTGTGTACACTTCAGGAGAAAGAGAGAGAATGGGGACACAACCTCTGTCATGTTTTCTGGCTCATCTTGTTGACCCCTGTCCCCGCTCCTCTCAGTGGTCCCAAGCCCATGGACTCCAAGCCCAAGCTGAAGCGTTCTCAGAGCTTTGGTGTGTCCAGTGCCAGCAGCATCAAGCAGATTCTTCTGGAGTGGTGCCGCTCCAAAACCATAGGATACCAGGTGAGACTGTGGTGACAGAACACAGCTACACACCGGAACAGAGACCTGGGCCGTATTCACAAAGCACCTCAGAGTAGAGGCTGATCTAGGATCAGGTCCCCCATTATGAATACAGCCCTATAGGAGCCAGTAACAAAGGTCATGTATATGGAACTGTCATCTGGTCACCTGAAATGTATCCACCACACAGAAGCAGTCTTATGTCATTTTTGCTAGTTCCTGAACAGGGTATTATAATAACTCCCCTGGTTTCTCCATGGCTTAAACCATTAGCACGTAGCAGAGCGTTAATGTGTTAATGAGAAGCACCTTACCATGGTTATGCTGCATACTGAACTTAGCGTATTATTGTAGTATATTGAACGGTTGTGTGTGCATTTGTGTGTGTGTGTGTGTGTGCGTGCGTGAGTGTTTGAGTTACGGCTCAGTGCTAGGGCTGTTGGCTTCACTCTGCCATTCACTCTGCAACAGCAGCTGTGCCAGTCTGTCCATGTGGCTGTGGTTAAACAGAGAGCTGTCACGGGCCAAGGCCGGCCCTACAGAGCAAACGGCACAGGCCAGCTCCTCCTCACACTCAAATTAGAGACCTGACTGGCGCTCGACAAACATGACAAGTTGAATTTTCCCGCTGACACGCTGAGGCTTTTATAGGCTAGGTGAAGGACACAAAAACCGTGAAATGACACAGTTCTGGAAGCGTGTCCAATTGGAGAGAGAGAGGGACGCAGGGAGAGGAATTGAGGATAAAGAACCATTCAGCATTCCTCTTCTGTTTTCCCCATTATGACAGTGGGACCAACAGAGAAACCTGGGAGAGGACATTTCATTAAGTTAGAATGGGTAGCCAATCATTTTTATTGGTCGTTTTCGTATGTCTGGTTTATTCTTACGTCTCTTTTACAGTGTCTCCGTATTCCCTCGCTAAACACGCGCAAATGCACCACACACACTCAGACATTTCAGTCCAGACACGCACGCACGCACACACAACCGCACACTCCTAACTCTGTCTCTCCGTCCCCAGAACATAGACATCCAGAACTTCTCGTCCAGTTGGAGTGATGGCATGGCCTTCTGTGCCCTGGTCCATTCCTTCTTCCCCACTGTGTTTGACTACAACGTGCTGACGCCTGCTGACCGCAAACACAACTTTGAGCTGGCCTTCGAAACAGCTGAGTAAGTGACTTTTACATTGTAATAAGTGTTATCTATACATATTTCAGAGCATTATAGACATACCCATGCATTTCTGTCTTGAATCATGTTGGAATGATTAATCCATTCATTATGTAGACTAGAGAAGTATCTGCCTATTCATGTACATTTCCAATGTCGCTCTCCTCTTGGTTTGGTGAAGCAATGAACACTACTATGATGTGCTTGTTATGAAGGCCAACCCAAGTTACCTGCGTAAATACATTTAGAGTCACAGTGTCCCTTGGCCACCATACAAATAGAAATGACATGAATGGAATCACTTTCAGATTCCATTAATAGCGTTGATACATAAAACATTGTACCACTGAGATGATCTTACAATGTTTCTGTTGCATCTTGGTAAAGAGTGTCTGTAGCCCACACGTTAAGCCAGCAAGGCAGCCGCTGCCAGAGAATACCCTCTCCTCTCCCCAGTCCCCACACGAACCTCCTCTTCTCTTCCCTCTGCTCTGCTTCCATCCACTCCTCTCACATTCCTCCAGCCTGACCTCACTACTAACAACGCCACTGCTGCAACACAGCCTCTCATTATCCTCCTAACACATGGATGCATACAGAACACAGAAAAAACATAGATCAAAATCATATGTGCATCTAACCATATACAGAGATAGTTCTAACACATGAGCTTCTGTACAATACCATAAATGAGTCCACATTGTTCCATGTGATCTATTAGCCTGGTCCCGGCTCTGTTTGTGCTGTCTTGCCAACAACACCGAATTACCATAGATATGAGTTGGGAAAACAGTTGAAACAGATCTGGGACCAGGCTAATGATCTATCAGCCCCCTTAACTAAGGAATGACATAGATAGGCATAGACTCCTCCTGACTTGTGCTGTCCCCTCTGTCTGATTCAGGGAGAAGGCGGGCTGTGACCGGCTCATCGAGGTGGAGGATATGATGGTGATGGGGCGCAAGCCCGACCCCATGTGTGTCTTTACCTACGTCCAGTCCATGTACAACCACCTGCGCAAGTTTGAGTGATGAACGATGACCTGGCAGCTAGTCGACGACATCACTGCCCCACCACCACTACCACCACTCTTTTGCCTTCAGGGACAGCAGCAATGCACACTGAAAGACTACACTTCCCCCTGTTGGAATGGACAGAGTATTACACGTATTTATCCAGTTTGAGAGATGTTTCACTGTGCGATGTTGAGTTCTCACAGTTATTCACAAATACAAAAGGCTATATTATCCCTGTTTGTGTATGAGTGGCTGCGTGTTTATTCCCTGAAAGTCTGTGTTACGTTTCAGAGAGAGGGGAAGGATCTTTCTCCCTTTTTTTTGTTGACCGACCATTTTTAAGGCTTATATTGGCACAGTTGAGAGAATGGGACAGGTTGCGGAATCAACTCTTTGCTGGGGAGAAAAGCTAGTCACTTTGAAGAAGCTGCAAGAGGACTTGAACAGTAGGCCTATAACACTGGATCAAGGACAAAGGACTGAGGTTCGACACTGTGGATCAGTCTAAATATGATGTTATCATCATTTGGTTCCTTCTAGAGTTGTATTTGTTCAGGCATCATTTACTTTATTGTCCTGGGGTTTCTCAGACCCGAATGTGTCCACAAAAGGCCTTGCATTGCAGCACAATAGAAAAGCTATACCAACGTGTGCCTTTATATCAGCCGAACAGAGGAACCCAAGTACACTCACTATAAAGTTGAATGGTTTGCTATTTAAGGAGCTAGAACTGCAAAGATTAACTGCACATACAGCTGTGGAAGAAATTAAGAGACCACTGCAAAATTATCAGTTTCTCTGGTTTTACTATTTATAGGTATGTGTTTGGGTAAAAATAACATTTTTGTTTTATTCTATAAACTACTGACAACATTTCTCCCAAATTCCAAATAAAAATATTGTCATTTAGAGCATTTATTTGCAGAAAATTACAACTGGTCAAAATAACAAAAAAGATGCAGTGTTGTTAGATCTCGAATAATGCAAAGAAAATAAGTTCATGTTAATTTTTAAACAACACAATACTAATGTTTTAATTTAGGAAGGGTTCAGAAATCAATATTTGGTGGAATAACCCTGATTTTCAATCACAGCTTTAATGTGTCTTGGCATGCTCTCCACAAGTCTTTCACATTGATGTTGGGTGACTTTATGCCACTCCTGGCACAAAAATTCAAGCAGCTCGGCATTGTTTGATGGCTTGTGACCATCCATCTTCCTCTTGATCACATTCCAGAAGTTTTCAATGGGGTTCAGGTCTGGAGATTGGGCTGGCCATGACAGGGTCTTGATCTGGTGGTCCTCCATCCACACCTTGATTGACCTGGCTGTGTGGCATGGGGCATTGTCCTGCTGGAAAAAACAATCCTCAGAGTTGGGGAACAATGTCAGAGCAAAAGGAAGCACGTTTTCTTCCAGGACAGCCTTGTACGTGGCTTGATTCATGCGTCCTTCACAAAGACAAATCTGCCCGATTCCAGCCTTGCTGAAGCACCCCCAGATCATCACCGATCCTCCACCAAATTTCACAGTGGGTGTGAGACACTGTGGCTTGTAGGCCTCTCCGGGTCTCCGTCTAACCATTAGATGACCAGGTGTTGGGCAAAGCTGAAAATTGGACTCATCAGAGAAGATTACCTTACTCCAGTCCTCTACGGTCCAATCCTTATGGTCTTTTGCAAACCTCAGCCTGGCTCCTCTTTGCTTCTCATTGATGAAGGGCTTTTTTGTAGTTTTGCACGACTTCAGCCTGGCCCTAGGAGCCTGTTTCGAACCGTCCTCGTCGTGCACTTCACCCCAGCTGCTGTTTGCCATTCTTTTTGTAGGTCACTTGATGTCATCCTACGGTTGTTGAGTGACATTCGAATGAGTTGGCGGTCATCCCGGTCAGTGGAGAGTCGTTTTCGCCCTCTGCCGTCTGTAGCTTTGTTGTCCCCAATGTCTGATGCTTGACCTTGTTCTTATGAACCGCCGTCTTTGACATTTTAAGGATGGAAGCAACCTGACGCTCACTGTATCCCTCTGCCAGTAAAGCCAGAATTTAACCCTTCTTTTCCATACTCAAAACTTTCCTTTTCAACTCTTTTGGCATAGTCAATAGTTATTTTTTGATTAATATTACTTTTGAGGTACTATTAGCACTGTTTTTGCCATCCAGCTGGTCCTATTGCAAGAGGATAGTGATGACCACAGCAGTGGTTTTTATACTTTTTCTCGTTAAAAAGATTTGGTTCAGGTGATCGCCTAATCAGTACCTAATTCAGTAGAATGAGGTGTGCCTGTGTTGGAATTCAACAGACACTGGAATGGAATGGCTGTCATACATGTAGAGATGCTAATTTAAGAAAAGTGTGCAGTGGTCTCTTAATGTTTTCCACAGCTGTATGTACCCAAAGGTAAAACGGCCTATGTTCTTATAGTGTCATTGTTATGGTTGTGATTTTATTTGATTTTCATAGACAAAATAAAAATACAAAAATAAATCATAAATAAATTGTCACACACCTTTGCTTTTTTTAATGTCATCATTTTATAGTAGGGCTGTCACTTAATGAGTTAACTTGAGTGCACTTTTTGTCATTTTAGTGCACAGTTTTTTTTTAAATTGTGATTAATCGTCTGAAAGCATTCAAAATACACTGAAAACATCCAAAATACATCATCTATACAGGTTAAAGAAAGTGTGTTTTATCAATTTACCTGATTTTGCTTACCATTACTTTGGACAAAATCAAGCCCTTAATATTCTTCACACTGGGCACAGAAGTCAGATCAACATGTAGTTTTGATTTACATTTGGTTGAGTTGTCAACTAACGTGAATTCAACGTGAACTCAAAACAAAAAAATCCCCATGTCATTGGATTTAGGTTCAAAGTTGGGTGAAAAAAAGACAATGTCCTTACGTTGATGACCTTTTGCAAATCCAATCAGTTTTCCACAACATCATCACAGATTTGGGGGGTTGAAATGACTTGGAAACACTGTTGGTTCAACTAGTTTTTGCCCAGTGGGTTGTAATTCTTTTTGTATGAAAAAATCTTCAATTACATCTCCATTTGAGCAATTTCTGAATTTGTGATTAATTGACAAATCCTGCGATTAACTTGATTACATTTTTTTTATTGTTTGACAGCCCAATTTAATATATTTAATGGTATTTAGGATTACTTTAGCAATAAATGCACACATTTGAGGACCAAAATATTATATGATTATTTAGCATGATCCCTTCACATAAAAGGGAAAAAAGGAAAGGGGTAGGGCAGGCCAATATAAATCATTACTAATTGGCTCATTAAAAAAGAGAAGATATGGAGTTGGTTCTTGTACAATGTGTATTCCTCTAAACCCTTCGAGCTTCGTTCAGAAATGTAAATTTGGGGATTTGTGTACGTTGGTGTATTTAGAGCTTCTCTCAGAAGTTGAACGGGTGTTCAATGGAATGGAAATCGATCACTAGGCTAATTGACTTCAATACACAGGAAGAGAACGTGTGAAACAAGCTTTTGAAGTTGCTAGGCTTTTTCCTGCATAAGATAATAGTTGGGCTATAGTTTACTTTTCATTCATCCTTATCGCCCCGAAAAAAAAAAAAATCTAAATATTGTAATGAATAGAGAGAAAGCAAGTAAGCTTTTATAGTCCCAACTCAACAAATCAATTTGGTGAAGGACAGCCTAAAATGGCAATTCATTTTTTGTAGGCATATGTCAAATGACAGGACAGCAAATTGATGAATAACAAATATGGCTCTCGCAGTGAACGTGGTAGGATACAGTAGGCCTATGTAGATTGACTGTTCTGTGCGTCCAACAAGGTCTGCCTGCCCTGCGCTCCAATCTCCACGGGGTTCCTCTTTGCAGTCGATTACCCCGGGACGAGATCTGACCGTTTGACGAAGGGAGAGTCAGACAATAGCGACAGCGGAAACAGCGGGTTTAAACACCATTCCTGCTTTCATCTGTTTCTTGTCAATTCGTGGCAACGTCACCATCAGCAATTCAGGATTAGAGAGGTGGGCACTGGGCACCACTATAGGCCTATAACACCTGAACGTGCCCAGATTAATTTGGGGTGGACTGTGGGCGGTATGGGATTATAAAAGGGACCAGCTACCCAGCGCTGAGCGCATCATTTACGCATCACCAGACCAAACTGTAGAGGTACATGGAATTATATCTCTCTTCATCAATCAAGAATTCACTGCACACAGACTGACTGACCATAAAGAGATGAATTTTACTGCACTTTTTGGAGACCAAGATCAATGTAAAGGTAGGCTATGTAAATAGTTTTCAAATGTTCAGGCTGTAGGCCTATGCGTAAAAGCTTACCATCAAAGTAAAAAAAAGATGTTACAATAGTGACAGTTATATTTGTTTATTGACTTTTATAGTTTCCTTTAGGATGATTTTATTATGAATAGCATTTATTAATTCAATTGTCAATATTCTGTCTAGATTTCGCCGAAAATAAATAGCGCACAAAGAAACAAACAAAACCATAAGGTTATAATATATAGAAAGATATCCATTGACATAAACAGAAATGCAGATGAAAACAAAACGAAAACATACGGTACGGTTTTCGTTTTGGTAATTCCTCGATTGTCGAAACATACGGTACGGTAATTCCTCGATTGTCTTTAATAATTTTCTAACGCAATACCGGTATTTTAGGCTACTTAAATAATAATCTATGAACCATATGATGATTATGATTCTCAAACATTTAGTTTTTGTTGTTGTTTAGATGTGAGGAATGACAATGGACTTTCATCACCTGAACCTGAGAGACGTGGGTTTAAAGAGGGCCAAAGGAAGCGCAAAAGAACCATCTTCAGCCGCGCGCAATTGTCTGAGTTGGAACAAGCTTTCGCTCTGATGCCGTACCCAGACATCACTCTCCGTGAACGCTTGGCTGCACAAACGCATCTACCTGAAAGCAAGATACAGGTTTGTGTAGTGATAATAACTAAAAGTTCGTTATTTACACTTTCTGTATATATAGTTGAAGTCGGAAGTTTACATACACTTAGGTTGGAGTCATTAAAACTCGTATTTCAAGCACTCCACAAACGTCTTGTTAACAAACTATAGCTAGTTTTGGCAAGTCGGTTAGGACATCTACTTTGTGCATGACAAAAGTAATTTTTCCAACAATTGTTTACAGACAGATTATTTCACTTATAATTCACTGGATCACAATTCCAGTGGGTCAGAAGTTTACAAACACTAAATTGACTGTGCCTTTAAACAGCTTGGAAAATTCCAGAAAATGATTTCATGGCTTTAGAAGCTTCTGATAGGCTAATTGACATCATTTGAGTCAATTGGAGGTGTACCTGTGGATGTATTTCAAGGCCTACCTTCAAACTCAGTGCCTCTTTGCTTGACATCATGGGAAAATCAAAAGAAATCAGCCAAGACCTCAGAAAAATATTGTAGACCTCCACAAGTCTGGTTCATCCTTGGGAGCAATTTCCAAATGCCTGAAGGTACCATGTTAATCTGTACAAACAATAGTACGCAAATACAACCATCATGGGACCACACAGCCGTCATACTGCTCAGGAAGGAGACACGTTTTGTTTCCTAGAGATTTCATGCGAAAAGTGCAAATCAATCCCATAACAACAGCAAAGGACCTTGTGAAGATGCTGGAGGAAACAGGTACAAAAGTATCTATATCTACAGTAAAACGAGTCCTATATCGACATAACCTGAAAGGCTGCTCAGCAAGGAAGCAGCCACTGCTCCAAAACCGCCATAAAAAAGCCAGACTACGGTTTGCAACTGCACATGGGGACAAAGATCGTACTTTTTGGAGAAATGTCCTCTGGTCTAATGAAACAAAAATAGAACTGTTTGGCCATAATGACCATTGTTATGTTTGGAGGAAAAAGGGGGTGCTTGCAAGCCGAAGAACACCATCCCAACCGTGAAGCACAGCGTCATGCTGTGGGGGTGCTTTGCTGCAGGAGGGACTGGTGCACTTCACAAAATAGATGGCATCATGAGGAAGGAAAATTATGTGGATATATTGAAGCAACATCTCAAGACATCAGTCAGGAAGTTAAAGCTTGGTCGCAAATGGGTCTTCCAAATGGACAATGACCCCAAGCATACTTGCAAAGTTGTGGCAAAATGGCTTAAGGACAACAAAGTCAAGGTATTGGAGTGGCCATCACAAAGCCCTGACCTCAATCCTATAGAACATTTGTGGGCAGAACTGAAAAAACGTGTGCGAGCAAGGAGGCCTACAAACCTGACTCAGTTACACCAGCTCTGTCAGGAGGAATGGGCCTAAATTTACCCAACTTATTGTGGGAAGCTTGTAGAAGGCTACCCAAAATGTTTGACCCAAGTTAAACAATTTAAAGGCAATGCTACCAAATACTAATTGAGTGTATGTAAACTTCTGACCCACTGGGAATGTGATGAAAGAAATAAAAACTGAAATAAATAATTCTCTCTACTATTATTTTGACATTTCACATTCTTAAAATAAAGTGGTGATCCTAACTGACCTAAGACAGGGCATTTTTACTAGGATTAAATGTCAGGAATTGTGAAAAACTGAGTTTAAATGTATTTGGCTAAGGTGTATGTAACCTTCCGACTTCAACTGTATCTATGCATTTAGGCTACAACAACATATTTACCTGACTCTACTCATTGTTCACAGATGTGGTTCCAAAACAGACGGGCAAGAAGCATCAAGAGTGGAAGACTCACCAAATCAACTAAGACTACTTTTGGAAGAGGTGCAACATGCCAACTTCGCCCAATGGTCCCATCCCCTGGTCCCTCCTTCACCCCAACCACAATGGGGGAGATGTTCCGACCAGACCAGATTCAGTGTGATGATGGTCAGCAGTTCTACTCCGACTGGATCCATCTCTACAGCAACCCTGTGACTCATCAGCCTACACTCGTCTCCCCAAACCTAGCAGAATCCCTACTGTGGGAGGAAGACCGCCGATCTCACCTGGGATCTCTTGCTACTACCACTGCACCCATTGGAAGACAAGCACATTCCTCACTGTCATATCGGGATGGGTTCAACCAGACCTGCGTGGGCACCTCAGGGTATAGAAACTTTCCGCCACAGACTCTAGCAGGCTCACAGGCCAGATATGGTCATCAAACCTCAGTGGACCAGGTTGTCCCCTCCCATCCACAGCAGATGTACTGGGATGTGACTCAAGGACAGGGCCATCATCCTCAGGTGGGCCCCCAGACCTCCATCGGATACATCTCAGACCTGATCTATAATGCTGCTATTGTCACCAACTTCCTGGAGTTCTAATGTCCTGCCCCTGCTTACCAAAGCCTGGTGGTCCCAGCTCTGGTTGTGCTGTCTTGCCAGGAGTCGGCAAGACAACACAAATAGATGTGGGACCACTAGGGACCGCTTGCGCTTGCCCAATACAGTGCCTTTAGAAAGTATTCACACACCTTGACTTTCCACATTTTGTTGTGTTAAAGCCTGACTTCAAAATGGATTAAGTGGTCCTCTGTAGCTCAGCTGGTAGAGCATGGCGCTTGTAACGCCAAGGTAGTGGGTTCGATCCCCGGGACCACCCATACACAAAAATGTATGCACGCATGACTGTAAGTCGCTTTGGATAAAAGCGTCTGCTAAATGGCATATTATATTATTTATTATTATTAAATACCCCATAATGACAAAGTGAACACATGTTTTTAGACATTTTAGCAATTTTATTGAAAATGAAATACAGAAATAATACATTTACATACAATTGAAGTCGGAAGGTTACATACGCCTTAGCCAAATACATTTAAACTCAGTTTTTCACAATTCCTGACATTTAATCCTAGTAAAAATTCCCTGTCTTAGGTCAGTTAGGATCACCATTTTATTTTAAGAATGTGAAATGTCAGAATAATACTAGAGAGAATGATTTATTTCAGCTTTTATTTATTTAATCACATTCCCAGTGGGTCAGAAGTTTACATACACTCAATTAGTATTTGGTAGCATTACCTTTAAATTGTTTAACTTGGGTCAAACGTTTCAGGTAGCCTTCCACATGCTTCCCTTCCCACAATAAGTTGGGTGAATTTTGGCCCATTCCTCCTGACAGAGCTGGTGTAACTGAGTCAGGTTTGTAGGCCTCCTTGCTCGCACACACTTTTTCAGTTCTGCCCACAAATGTTCTATAGGATTGAGGTCAGGGCTTTGTGATGGCCACTCCAATACCTTGACTTTGTTGTCCTTAAGCCATTTTGCCACAACTTTGCAAGTATGCTTGGGGTCATTGTCCATTTGGAAGACCCATTTGCGACCAAGCTTTAACTTCCTGACTGATGTCTTGAGATGTTGCTTCAATATATCCACATAATTTTCCTTCCTCATGATGGCGTCTATTTTGTGAAGTGCACCAGTCCCTCCTGCAGCAAAGCACCCCCACAGCATGATGCTGCCACCCCGTGCTTCACGGTTGGGATGGTGTTCTTCAGCTTGCAAGCACCCCCTTTTTCTTCCAAACATAACAATGGTCATTATGGTCAAACAGTTCTATTTTTGTTTCATCAGACCAGAGGACATTTCTCAAAAAGTAAGATCTTTGTCCCCATGTGCAGTTGCAAACCGTAGTCTGGCTTTTTTATGGCGGTTTTGGAGCAGTGGCTTCTTCCTTGCTGAGCGACCTTTCAGGTTATGTCGATATAGGACTCGTTTTACTGTGGATATAGATACAGTGGGGAAAAAAAGTATTTAGTCAGCCACCAATTGTGCAAGTTCTCCCACTTAAAAAGATGAGAGAGTCCTGTAATTTTCATCATAGGTACACGTCAACTATGACAGACAAAATGAGAAAAAGAAATCCAGAAAATCACATTGTAGGATTTTTAATTAATTTATTTGCAAATTATGGTGGAAAATAAGTATTTGGTCAATAACAAAAGTTTCTCAATACTTTGTTATATACCCTTTGTTGGCAATGACACAGGTCAAACGTTTTCTGTAAGTCTTCACAAGGTTTTCACACACTGTTTGCTGGTATTTTGGCCCATTCCTCCATGCAGATCTCCTCTAGAGCAGTGATGTTTTGGGGCTGTCGCTGGGCAACACAGACTTTCAACTCCCTCCAAAGATTTTCTATGGGGTTGAGATCTGGAGACTGGCTAGGCCACTCCAAGACCTTGAAATGCTTCTTATGAAGCCACTCCTTCGTTGCCCGGGCGGTGTGTTTGGGATCATTGTCATGCTGAAAGACCCAGCCACGTTTCATCTTCAATGCCCTTGCTGATGGAAGGAGGTTTTCACTCAAAATCTCACGATACATGGCCCCATTCATTCTTTCCTTTACACGGATCAGTCGTCCTGGTCCCTTTGCAGAAAAACAGCCCCAAAGCATGATGTTTCCACCCCCATGCTTCACAGTAGGTATGGTGTTCTTTGGATGCAACTCAGCATTCTTTGTCCTCCAAACACGACGAGTTGAGTTTATACCAAAAAGTTATATTTTGGTTTCATCTGACCATATGACATTCTCCCAATCCTCTTCTGGATCATCCAAATGCACTCTAGCAAACTTCAGACGGGCTTGGACATGTACTGGCTTAAGCAGGGGGACACGTCTGGCACTGCAGGATTTGAGTCCCTGGCGGCGTAGTGTGTTACTGATGGTAGGCTTTGTTACTTTGGTCCCAGCTCTCTGCAGGTCATTCACTAGGTCCCCCTGTGTGGTTCTGGGATTTTTGCTCACCGTTCTTGTGATCATTTTGACCCCACGGGGTGAGACCTTGTGTGGAGATTAGAGATTATCAGTGGTCTTGTATGTCTTCCATTTCCTAATAATTGCTCCCACAGTTGATTTCTTCAAACCAAGCTGCTTACCTATTGCAGATTCAGTCTTCACAGCCTGGTGCAGGTCTACAATTTTGTTTCTGGTGTCCTTTGACGGCTCTTTGGTCTTGGCCATAGTGGAGTTTGGAGTGTGACTGTTTGAGGTTGTGGACAGGTGTCTTTTATACTGATAACAAGTTCAAACAGGTGCCATTAATACAGGTAACGAGTGGAGGACAGAGGAGCCTCTTAAAGAAGAAGTTACAGGTCTGTGAGAGCCAGAAATCTTGCTTGTTTGTAGGTGACCAAATACTTATTTTCCACCATAATTTGCAAATAAATTCATTAAAAATCTTACAATGTGATTTTCTGGTGAAAAAAATTCTCAATTTGTCTGTCATAGTTGACGTGTACCTATGATGAAAATTACAGGCCTCTCTCATCTTTTTATGTGGGAGAACTTGCACAATTGGTGGCTGACTAAATACTTTTTTTCCCCACTGTACTTGACTCAAATGATGTCAATTAGCCTATCAGAAGCTTCTAAAGCCATGAAATCATTTTCTGGAATTTTCCAAGCTGTTTAAAGGCACAGTCAACTTAGTGTATGTCAACTTCTGACCCACTGGAATTGTGATACAGTGAATTATAAGTGAAATAATCTGTCTGTAAACAATTGTTGGAAAAAGTACTTATTTCATGCACAAAGTAGATGTCCTAACCGACTTGCCAAAACTATAGTTTGTTAACAAGAAATTTGTGAAGTGGTAGAAAAAAAAAAGTTTTAATGACTCCAACCTAAGTGTATGTAAACTTCCGACTTCAACTGTAAGTATTCACACCCCTGAGTCAATATACTGTATGATAGACTCACATTTGGCAGTGATTACAGCTGTGAGTCTTTCTGGGTAAGTCTCTATGAGATTTGCACACCTGGATTGTATAATATTTGCACATATTCTTTTGAAAATTGTTCAAACTCTATTAAGTTGGTTGTTGATCATTGCTAGACAGCCATTTTCAAGTCTTGCCATAGATTTTCAAGACGATTTAAGTCAAAACTGTAATTAGGCTACTCCGGAACATTCAATGTTGTCTTGGTAAGCAACTCCAGTGTACATTCGGCCTTCTCCTGCTGAAAGGTGAATTTGTCTCCCGAGGTCTGTTGGAAAGCAGACTGAACCAGGTTTTCCTTTAGGATTTTGCCTGTTTATTTTTATCCTGAAAAACTCCCTAGTCCTTGCCGATGACAAGCATACCCATAACATGATGAAGCCACCACCATGCTTCAAAATATGAAGAGTGGAACTCACTGATGTGTTATGTTGGATTTGCCCCAAACATAACACTTTGTATTCAGGACATAAAGTACATTTCTTTGCCACATTTTTTGCAATTTTACTTTAGTGCCTTATTGCAAACAAATGCATGTTTTGGAATATTTGTATTATGTACTGGCTTCCTTCTTTTCACTCTGTCATTTAGGTTAGTATTGTGGACTAACTACAATGTTGTTGATCCATCATCAGTTTTCTCCTATCACAGCCATTAAACTCTGTAACTGTTTTAAAGTCACCATTGGCCTCATGGTGAAATCCCTGAGCAGTTTCCTTCCTCTCCAGCAACTGAGTTAGGAAGGATGCCTGTATCTTTGTAGTGACTGATACACCTGTTGATACACCATCGAAAGTGTAATTAATAACTTCACCATGCTCAAACGAATATTCAGTGTCTGCTTCTTCTTCTTTTTTGCCCATCTACCAATAGGTACTATCGTATCTGAAGATTATGCCTTTGTTAAATGTTTTTCATGACGAAATGGAATGTTGGTTGTTCAGGCCAGAGGGGGGAGGTTTTATGATGTTATTTGAAATGTGCCGCTTGGAGGGTGACGCCCGAGGGGAGACTGGTGATTGGTCAGAAGAGGGGAGTCACTCCTCTTTTTGCATTGTTTATAAATAGGGGGTAAACGATGAGACGGCAGAACGGCCATATCAATCTGGGGAGCCGTTCTCCGGACATCGCGAGTCTGTATCTATGCTGGAAATTCGTGATTTTAATAAAAGCCTCTAACACGATACAGCATAGCGAACTCTTTGTTGACGGCAATAATGACCACCATTCATCATATACGACATAATGGCGCCCAACGTGGGGCTGGTTTTGCGTCTCTTCCTTGTTTCAGTCAACCGCCGGCCTAACTCTCTCTGAAGCATGGCCGAAAAAGGGTGAGTGTGTTCTTACCGCTTCGGAGTTTGTTAGATTGGATATGACTTGTGTACACTGAGGGGATGTTCCATTTCGACCTGGCCTCGGTGGTGTTATTGTGGTCAACTAGAGTCTGCTAAAATTTATCCCAGGGGAAACGGCAGATAATTGGGAGTTTTTAGAGCATGAAACGGTAGGATTTAAGTATTGAAGTGACGATTAAGGCAGATATGCGCATTCTTTAGGGCACTGTACCACTTAAGACCTCCAGGGGGGGCCAT